GGGAGGGCAAGGGAAGGGGAAAAAAAATAAGAACCAAGAGACTCATGTAATGGTACAAGATCCCAATGATGAATGTAACTGTATTGCATACCTAAAATGTACATTAAAGTTAATGGGGGAAAAAAAAATCTTGAAACTCTGCATCTGTCATGGTATTTGTTTTCATCTAGTTAAAAGACCAAGCACACTAATTTAGTAGAATAAACCTCTTTAAAATCATAAGATTTCCATGGTCACCTAGCAACTGTTGTCTACAAACTAATATGAGATTTCTCTTACAGATATCTGACCTAATCACAGGTGCTACAAGAGACCTAAGGCTGGAAGTGACTGCTCTTGAGGAAAAACTCCACGAACCCCATATTCGATACACTGAAGAATCTGCGTCAAAGAAAACAGAAATTGAAAACCTTAAAAATTTAGTTGTAGAATTTGAATCTCGCTTGAAGAAGGAATTTAACAACAATGATTCAGTTTCTCAAGACGAGGAAGGAAATGAAACAGAAGTCAGATGAGCTGTAAAGAGTAACGCTAGTGCAAACACAACTGATACAGCGATTTAACCAGTCCCAGGAAGAGGTAGGAAGCTGTTACTAGTACCTGTGCAATTAGTGTAAGAGCATATGTTCTTTTGATAAACAAATAAACAAACACAAACATGAAAGATAGCTCCTTGTTATGGAAAGAGCCCTAGATTGTTAGTCCGGCTCCTGAGAGAGCATCAGGGCTCTTAAGTAGGCAACATAATGTCTGTGGACTTGGCTTCCTTTTGTGTAAGATGAGGATAGGGAACTATGTAATGTCTAAAGTTTGATTGGTGCCCAGTTCTGTGTTGCAAATAACTATGTACAACTTCTAAGACTAGAAATATTTATATATTTATTATGTCTTATTTGTTTGAACATTGAATCTTTGTTTAAAAAAACGGTCAAGGCACATATTAAGTTTTTAAAAAATCAGATAAATAAAGATGGTTTTACTTTAATGTTTTACATTTCTACCAACCTAAACTTACAAGGTAATTTATATACTTTAGTCTTATTTCTTATATATGTGTGTTTTTATTTTATTAGCAATGTTTTTATTTAGATTGGAGTAAAATTATTTTCATATGAAAACTTTTTTTCTAACAGAATCTTATTTCTGAAATTGCTAAGCAGTTTAGAAATAGTAGAACAATTAATTTGTTCCCTGCTTGACATAATGTTACATTATAACGCTTGATCCCATTTATCAGTACAGAAAATAAAGGCAAGTGGAGGAAGATTCTGAATGCTACTTGAAAGTAATATTTTTGTTGATTTTACTGACATCTTAATAAAAAAAAACAGGAAAGTGCTAGTATTAATATCAATTATTAACAATAAATAGACCATGTTCTTGCTATATTTAAATTACCAACCATAAATATGGAGTGAACCTCTTATAAGATAAAATATGGAATGGCCAAAATATTAGGTCAAAAATAATGCCTAAGGCAGCTCTATAAAGTTGAAATTATTTACATGTTACAGATGAGAAACTTATTTTAAAAGGTGGAATAATTTCCATAAGATCACACAATTTGGCAGAGCCAAGATTCAAATTTGACTCGCTATGGTATGGTGTTTCCTCTTTCAGGAAATGTATTCTGGTGATTCTGTTTCTAGATTTCAAGGTGACCTCAAGTTTAACACACACAATCGCCTGGCCTCATTCATTCATTCATTTGGTCTTTTAAAGTGGAAAACAAAACAGTAAACACACTCCTTAACTACTGCAGGTGGTGAGGAGGTCAAGTGACTGGGTGTCTTGTGTGGGTCAGAGCGGCACAGCCTCCCCATGAAAGGGAGTCCTTTCCAGTGGAGCATATGCATGGACTCAACTCCACTGCAGGAATGAAGCCGAAGAGAGATGATGCTGATTGCCACAAGTGAGACAGCAGGTTAAAGCAGCGAAAGGTCAAGGCAACTAGACTAGCAGGTCTGAATTCCAAAAGGACTGGAAATTTAGAAAGTAAGGAATAACTGAACCAGGGCCAAGTAGAAAGTGCAGATGAGGAGTCAGATTCAGAAAGTACACATTATCATGTATCTAGTAAGTAGCTAGGTAGGCACTATGATGTAATTATGAGCAAAACATATCTACCATTTCCTGCCTTCAGAGAGAAACTTAAAACTTTGCATGAATGAGTAAATTAACCTACAGAAAAATTATCTGAATGTAAATTTATCATATGAAAAACATAGACTAAATGCTAGACAACTTGCCTTGAGAGCCTGGATTCATTACTTACTGCTACATAACAGATTACCCCCAAATTCAGCAGCTTCAAATAAGAAACATTTATTATCTCATCAGTTTTGTGGGTTGGGAATCCAGTGTGGCCTAGTTGGGTGCCTCTGGTTCAAGATCTCTCATGAGCTGGGTGTCAGGGTGTTCACAGGCAGCAGTCTAATCCAGAGGGTCTACCAGAAGAGGCTCAGCTTCTGGCTCATAAATGTGGTTGTTGGCAGGGTTTATTTTCTCACAGATTGTTGAACTAGGAACCTCTGGCTGTTGTCCAGAGGCCTCCCCAATTCCTTGCTACAGGAACCTCTCCACATTGCCTCTCCAAGTGTATCAGCTGGCTTACCTCAGGCCAGTGACTAACAGAGAAAGAGAGAGACTTTCAAGGCAGAATCCTCAGTCTGTTTTGTAACCCAGTCAAAATATGGCACCCACTACTTCTGCTGTATTGTATTTAGGATAAATGAGTCAATAAGTCCCACTCACACTCAAGAGAAAGTGAGTACACCAGGTGTAAATATGAGGACAGCAGGGGTCACTGGGGCCATTTTAAAGCCTTCTAAACACGGAGCCTCTGAAGATGATTTTAGCAAGAGAAATCAGAATAAAAGTGAAGAGTGGATTTCTTTACCAGTCTAAAGGAGCTACATGTGGAGCTCATCCTGCTCATTAGTTGTGGAAGGAAGCCATAAATGAGGTTTCATTGCACACACACACACACACACACACACACACACACACACACACAGGCTTTTGAAAGCTAGAAGATGTTAGGTTAGTATATAAGTGATCATTAATCATTACTAGAGAGGAGAAAAAGATTATCCTGAAAATTTTTTAAAAAGCTAATTACAGAAACTGAGGGCAATTTCCTTTTGTGAGAGGGAAGAGTAAACTAGGTTTTTACTAGAAATTTCCAAAAATCACCTCAAAGTTAAATAATTAGAATCAAAATATACATAACTAAGTAAGGCTATCTCTCTGGCTAGGTTTCCCAAAGTCCAGAATATGCTTATAAAAATAGGAGCCAATAAAAGTGAGAGGATTTATAAGCCAGAAAGAATAGAGGCTGTAAATAGAGGTATGTAAAGTGAAAAACAATACTTTTAAATTTTTTTTTCAATCATGAATTCCAGACACTTGAAGTTTCTCAGATTCTGGAGAAATAAAGCTGCAAGTGGAAAACAAATTCCCATTAGAATGAAGATAAATTAATGGCCTAATAAGGAGGCTAATTAATGGGAGGAAAACCATATTCTCTTTCAAGAAGCCAAAGAGTGGGTGGACTTTGCTTTTAATTGAATGAAGAAAGCTCTTGAGGGTGGAAGAAAAGCCACAGCCTCTGAAGGGCACAACAGACCTTCCTGAGTGGAGCAGGGATTATTGGAGCAACAAAAACAGTGCATGTCACCAAGAAGAGAAAAAATGGAAAATAAAGCAGTAATAGAAATGGAAATGTGGAGAGGAGCCCCTAAAAATTCTTACTGGGGAAAAGACACATTGAAAAATAGGAGTATCAAAAACAAAAAAGGAAAGAAAAGGAAATGAGAAGAGAAAGTTACTGTGAGAGAATAGCACATTATCATTAAAGACAAATTAAGGTAGATAGACTGCACGCTTCGTGGCACCTGTTTTCCCTCATTCTAGTTGCACGTGGCCCCACCATTAGGAGATTTTCTGTGATCCACAGGAAGAATATGGGTAAATTATAATGAAAGCAAAAACAAAAACAAAAAGCCCTCATATACAACCATCAAAGAAAAACCAGGGCAGAGGGTTTAACATTTTTTGTTTGTTTGTTTTATAACCATAGGTGAGGGGAGGGGCCAGAATTTTCAATTCTACAAGTTTTTGTATCCTCAAAAAATAGCAAGTAATGCTCTCAGTTAAACACGAAGAATGAATATGTATGTTTATCTTTACTTCATTTCTTTGTTATGAAAATGGCAATAAATTCATTTAAAAGGTAAAATCTGTGAGGACAGAGAAAATGAGAGGAGTTGACACTAGATGAAAAGATGTTGACACAATTTTGGAAAATGGAAAGCAAATGGCTGAGAGGTAAATGACCTAGCCAACTACAGAATATTGAATCTGTACTGCGGGCAGGACTGGGAAGTGTGAAGGGATGCTCTTTTTTATTATAAGTTTTTTAAAAATATTTACCTTTTAACTATATATAATATATCCTTAATTTAAAAATTAAAAGTAGTAGAAAAGAATAAAATATAAAAAGGAGCTGGTAGTGAAGATAACAGAGACAAGGACAAAATTCAAAGCATGTGGAAGAAAAACCAGAAAGTTGTAAATAAGGCAAATAAACAACAGAATATGAACTTTAATTATATCTTTCATTAAGATTATGAGAAATTTTTAAAAATTAAGAAAAAGCATTTTCTATCTTAAACTTTAGCAACAGATGCCTGGCATACTTCTCTTTTTCCTTCAAGTCTGTGATACAAAGAAAGCTCTTCTATGGAGCTACAGAATCCCAAAGGCAGGTGTTTAAGCTTCTACTATACATTTATGTGCTCACTTAACAGGTATATAGGTTTTTGTTGTTTTTATACATGGCAAAGAAGAAAAATCAAGCAGAGTAAAAAGGAAAGAGGAGTAATGTATTAAATGGAATGTCAGGACTTTTTAGGGAAATAATATTCAAGCAGATCTGCAGTGCGGGAAAGAACATTCCAAGCAAAGGAGATAGCAAGTGTCAAGGCCCTGCAGGTCAGAGAACCCTGGGGACTTTCAAGAAATCTCAAGGGACTAGGGGTGTAGCTCACTGGTGGTATATTTGTCTAGAAGGTGCAAGGCAATTCCCTGGATTCTATCCCCAGTACTGGAAAAAAAGGGAGAGGAAGAAAGGAAGGAAGGAAGGAAGGAAGGAAGGAAGGAAGGAAGGAAGGAGTAGAGAGAGGGAACAGGAGGAGAGGGAAGAAAAGAAGAAAGGAAAAGAAAAGAAATCACCAGGAAGTCATTAAGTATTGCTTGAGCTTAGTAACCAGAGGACAGGGATAGAAAACAAGGTTGAGGTGAGAGATTTAATATATAAATATTAAATTGCAGTAGAGACCAACAGCAAAATACAGATTCTTCGAGACCTGGAATCAAGACACCTAGAAAACAACAACTTAGAGAAGAGAAAAACAAGTAGAGCTCCAGGAATCAAGAAAGAACCAAAGAAACTATAAACAAATTGGAGAAACTGAAGACAATACAGAGAAGAGAAGAGCCTGGAAAACTAACCCCAGCTCTCAGGAGAGGAAAGTTGTCTCCACTGACACAAGTATTGTAATTTGTTTTCTCCTAACTGGTGCTGTAGATCAAGCCCCCAGAATATTGGGCACTAAGAAGACCCTCAAATATTACACTGAATAGGATGAAAAGGAATAAAAACACCAAAATATAAGCAAACACAAGTATGCATCACAGGGAGACAGAATCTAACTAAAGAGATCTCCACAGTAGTGACAATTTTTTCACCCTAATTGATCCTCAACTTACAGTGCAAAAGCATTAGAAACATAAGAAAAAGCAACAAGATGCCCCCCAAAAACAATTGACTCCCCAAAAGCTTGATCTCATAGACACTGAAGTAGAGGAAGCCATAGGCAAAGAACTGAAAAACCAAATGGTCAAAATACTTGAAGAGATTAAAAAAAAAAAAAGTATAAGCAAATGTATAAGATGTTTAAGGAGCTCAACACAGATTTCACAAAACAGATAAAGGATTTTGCCAATAAAATGTCCAACGAGGTTAAAGAAGAAACAAATAGGGCTGGGGATTTAGCTCAGTGGTTCCAGCGCCTGCCTCAAAAGTGCAAGGTCCCGAGTTTGATCCCTGGTTCCAAAAAAAAAAAAAAAAGAAGAAGAAGAAGAAACACATAGTGAACCAACTGAGTTAAGTAAGACAATACAAAATATGAATCATCATTTCAGAATAGAATAAGAAAGTATGAAAAGAAAGCAAGCAGAGATCGATGATATTAACAATTAATGGAAAGCATGGGTAGCAGATTTGACCAATGTGAGGATAGTGTCAGAAGTAAAAGACAATGTGAATGTAGTGTATTGTAAACTCAACTACAAAAACCAACCTCAGAATTACAGGAATAAAAGGAAAATTAGAAGATTCAAAAGGTATAAATTTATTCACTGAAATCATAGCAGAAAATTCCCCAAATCTAGGGAAAGAATTCAATATTCGAGTAAAAGAAGCATATGGGACCCCAAGTAGCCATGACTAGTAAAAAAATCTCTCTATGATACATAATAATCAAAATTCAAAAATTCAACAAAAGGAGAGAATACTAAAAGCTATTAGCTGTTACAGCAAGTAACCTGTAAAGGCAAGCCCATCAGAATAACTGTGTTTCTCAGCTCAAACCTTAAAGATCAGAGTAGCCTAGAGCAGTTTTTCAAGCCCTACAAGAAAGCATCTGTCAATCCAGATGTTTATATCCTGCAAAATTAGTCTTCAAACTTGATGGAGAAGTAAAGAGTTTCCATGGCAAAGAAATTCTAAAGAAATATATGAGCACTAAACCAAGATTGCAGAATTCTAGACAGACAGAGAGGGTACCAGCATCAAAGATCCCAAAGGAAAGTATATATCTGAATGGGACAGTAATTAAACAAAAGAAAAATATAAAGGAATCAGTACTGGGAAAATAATGCAATGGCAGAATTCAATAAGTACTTTGCAAAATAACTTTTAGTGTCAATTATTTCAACTCCCCAATCAAAAGACACAGACGGCAGATCAGATAAAAACACAAAATGAAATCAAAGATTGTCTACAGGAGACATAACTCATCAAAAAGGAAGTGCATAGACTAAAATAAAGCATAAAAAATGATACTCCATTCAAGAGCCTGAAAACAAGCAGGAGTAGCTATCTTATTTTCAAACAGCAGACTTCAAGCCAAAACTGATCAAAAGAGACAAAGATAGCCACTTTTGTAAATATTTATGCACCAAATGTCAGCACACTCAATTTCATAAAATGAAACTACTTGACCTAAAAAGACAAATCAACACCAATACGATCATACACCAATACAATACATAGTGGGGGACTTTAGGAGCTCACGCCCACAATTAGATAAGTCAACCAGACTCAAAAACAACAATAACAACAAGGAAACATCAGTTAAACCACATCATTGAACAAATGGACTTAATGTATCTACAGAGTGTTTCAACGAAAAACAGCAGAATACACATTTTTCTCAACAATACATGAAACTTTTTCCAAATTAGACTATATCTTAGATCATAAAGCATGCTTAGATAGAAAAAAATTGAAATAATACACTGCGTACTATCAGTTCATAGTGAAAGGAAGCTAGAAATCAGCAACAAAAGAAGCAACAGAAACACAAAAATGCACAGTTTAAATAATACATTATTGAATAATCAGTGACTCACAGAAGAAATCAAGAAGAAATAAGAAAGTTCCTAGAATAGATAACAATGGATAAATAACATACCAAAACCTACAGGACACAATGAAAGCAGTTTGAAGAGTGAAAGTTATAGCTGTAAATGCACAAATAGAAAGAGTAGAGTGATCCCAAATAACCTAATTATGTATCTCAAGGACAAGACCAATCTAAATCTGAAACTAATAGAAGGAATGAAATTATAAAGATCAGAGCCAGAAATTAATGAAATTAAAACTAAGAAAAAAGCAATACAATGGATCAGGGAATCAAAGAGTTGGTTCTTTGAAAAGATGAGAAGAGATCTGAAGTTGGTGGTGACAGGAGTGGTAAAAAGGATCAAGATATGGTTTGTATATACCAATTCCCCACAATAAATGTATTTACTATGTATCACAATAATTTTAAAAATTGTAAAAAGAAAGAAAACAAGGTCAAAGAGGCTGGATTATATGGAGTCTTTATGGGCAGGGACTTTGGGTTCTTTTCTAAGTGTGTGGAGAGCTTTGTAGGAATTTTGACAAGGGAGTGACATGACCTAACTTATTGTTATAGTGTAACTCTGACTGCAGTATAGAAAACAAGTTGAATAGAGCAAAAATGAATGTGAGGAGAGCTGTTACAAGGCTCCTGTGGTTTAGAAAAGCATTAATAAAGGCTGAGGATATAGCTCAGGAATAGAGTGTTTGGCAAATATGTGCAAGGCATTAGGGTTAATTCTTAGCACTGCAAAAAAGAGGGTATGGGGATTAGGTTAAATTAATGGTCATAGTGGTGAAGGAGAGCCAGATTTTGGATATTGAGGGTAAAGGCAACAGAAGTTGTTGATGGCTGGATGATACAAAATCATAATAAGAGTCAAAGATAACTCCAAGGTTTGGAGTATCAGCAACTCAGTGAGGGAAAGTATCATTTGCTAAGTGGGAAATACAATTGGAAAAGGAATACAATTAGGGGAAATATCAATACTTTGACTATTAGATATTCAATGAAGAAGTCACATAGGCACTATTTCCTGAGGAAGCTGACTGGAGATAACAACTGGGAAGACATCCACATGGAGTTGATACTTTTTGGTAATGAGAGAGATCACTCAGGGGTTGAGGAAATAAGAGAAGAGAGTTGAAAACAAGCAATCTGACTTTTAGAGGCTAGGAAGAGGAAGAGAATCTACAAATGGTGACAGAAGTAGAAGAAAACCAGAAGATAATCAGGGACTCTAAAGAAAGAAAACATTGAAAGATAGGAACATGCAACTTATACAGATTATGCAGCTTATGCAAAACATGCAATTTATACAGTCCACAGACCCATATCAAAAAACCATCATGTCCATATGTATGGAATTAAAATAATTGGAATTTTACTAAGTATAGTGTATATGTCCCAGAGATTTAGGGCAGCCTATGCCATGCAAAGATATTAATATTTCTGCAGTGAAATATCTGACTGTTCACTTACTAGAATAAAACTAATTAGCTTCCTATTAGACCAGTCAGATTTTATCAACAAATATGATGAGTCACAAAATTTTTCTTTTCAAAGATTTTTGGATGTCAAAACTGTGGGTAAAGGATGGTAGATCTGTGTTTGCTTTCATTACTACAGCTGCTGTTATGGTTCATGGTGGTTTGCCTGACCATTTCTTGGCATCCTAGATCTGTTTTTGTTTACAAAACAAAAAAAAGGGAGAATATAAATGTATCTCTGTGGGATTACAGACACAGATGACAGGAAAAGTCAATGAAGGATTTGCCTCCAAACTGCCAATAGTGGTTACCCTTGGAAGTTAAGAAGAAATGGGCAAGGGTTTCACTTATATGATTTTGAAAAATACTGGGATCATGGATTGATTTTGAACTTTTGGGGCTTTTAAATATTTTCTCAATGTAAAATATTTTTTAAAACCCAATTTATTTAGGAAACTACTAGCTAATTTGGGAAGGATGTTTTTATATAAACTACAAAATGAAACAAAGAATACATAATATTTATAAACACAAATAGCTTATTTTCCTTGGTTTGAGAATAAATATTTATTATATTTGCATGTTCAGTCAGCATAGAGAAAACAGCACACATTTCTCTGGTAATTCTGTCTGTGAGATAGTAAATTACCAAGCAAGTGGTTCTCAGCTTTAGGGCATAACAAAATTAAAACACTGGTGTATCTTCCAAAGGGCAAGGGAATGAAAAGAATTTCTCTAGTCTCCATCCCATGAGGTACAGGGGAGGGATGATGAAGGAACAGAACAGGGACTATTCCTAGGCTTGGGTGGCAGGCAGAGGATGATGAGCTGAGAATCTTGGCCATGGGGCACAGGCAGAAGGAGCTCAGGCTGTTGGTTTCCACCTGGGAAGAGGGAGATGTCAGAAAATTGACAAAATGAGAAGAAATATGGAGAAATTGTTTTTGTTGTTTAATACCAATTAAATCTGACTTAAAGTTAGATTATTAAATTAGAAAAGTACCCAGCTGCCATACCATGAATACTTTGTCTTCAAAGGCTCTTCCTCCCCATCCTGAAAATGTGCTTTTGAAGTTTCTCAACCTGAGGGAATATTATCCTCTGTTTCTGTGTTTTTTCAGTTATGTCTGCCTTGGTTGGTTTTATTATGTCTGCAAGCATGGAAATATAATTTTAAGAATGACCTGCCTGACTCTATCTTACTTCCTTACTGAGAATTTATTTAGATTTTTATTCCAAGCACAAGGACCTGAGTTTGATCCCCGGTGCCAAAAAAAAAAAGATTTTTATTCCTGCCATACCAAAAGGCCATTTTCACTACTTTTCTGTAGCAATTTGAGCTAAACAGATTAGTTGAACAGAAGCTGTTGAATGGGAGTTGGGCACATCCTTTGCTAACTCCTACTCATCTTTCTAGTTTCCACACCTTTTCCACAGAATTTCCTTTTACCTCAGCCCCCTACCCAGCTGGCTGACCACCCACTCCCTTGGGTTATATTTGGTTAGAGTTGGTGGAAACTGAATGTAATCTGATCATTCCATGACTGGTTTAGACCTCCCTGAGTATAAAGCAAGAACAAAGCCACCCATCTGTGCTTATTCTTCACCGAGAACTTGCTTTTCCTGGCACATTCCCCCAAATTATGCCAAATACAGCTGATTCCAGAACACCACAAACAGAATTCTCACCTTCAGAATGATCAAGTTACTCAGCAAAGCCTTCTCTCACTTCTTCCACTGTTTTTGAAATTGAAAGGAACCCAACTGTCTCTAAGGATAAAAATGAAAACAAACATAAAATTAAACCAGTCTTCCATCACAAAGAGTGAAGGAAATTGGACATTTTTTAATATTAGAAATTTAAAACAGAGGGTGAGCTCATTTATATTTTCATTCTGACATTTACCTTCTCAGTGGGAGTACAATTAAGCCATATTTTACTCCCATTTGAGGTGACCTTTATCTGAAAATGTTGTAGAATTCTCTATAGATCATCTTCGCCACCAATCAATAGAGAGTTAAGGATCCAGGAACATTAGTTCTTCCTCCCCTGGACCACTCCCTCCAAATGACGCTTGTGATAGGAACCTCCTACGTGAGAACTTTGAGCTCCTACTGTCCTGCCTACTGGCCATCTTGCCCCACTCTGGGCCATTTCCACAGAGCTGGTAAAGAGATCTTTCTTCCTTACACATTTAACAGTGTCAGCCCCTGTGAGAAATAGGCCTTTCAATGGCTCCAGATAGCCCTCAGAATTAAGTCAAAACTCTAGAGGTAATATGTTGCCAGATTCCTTCGTGATGTGACCTGCTCACTCCTCCCTATCTCAGTGCTGCTCTCTCCTTCCCTGGTGTGCCTGCATCCAAGTCATACTGAGCCATATTCAATGAAAGCACATTAAAATTCTCCAACAATCCAGCCTTCCTCCTTCCCAAATTGCTGAAAACAATCTAACCACAAGTGATGATTCTTTTCATGTATGATGGAATTTTCCACTAATGTGTCTACTGACTGTAGCCACATCCACATGTCCTTCTGTCATGCCCTGTCACACTCCACTCCTGAAATAGCAATCTCCTAAATTTGCAAGTATTCTATTTCCATTTTTTACCCTATCACTGAATAAATTATAACATCTGAACTGTCTATTGAGTTGTAACCTCAATTCTATAGGAGAAGGTAATGGTATCAGAGAGCATGAAGATATTATGAGAGTCTCCTAAGATTTCATAGTGTTTTGGCACAGGCAAAAATAAAAACTCCAATTTTGGATCCTGTTTTCAGTTCAGAGCTCCTTCTGGTTTGAGAAATAATAGAAGGAGAATTAATCCTTTCTTTTGAAAGTTATTAAGCTTTGAAGAACAATGAGTTTCAAAGCAGTGGGCCCCACACTGAGACAGTCAGCAGCCCTTCCCCAAACTCCAGTTTACTGGTCATTCACTCTCTTGGGAATATGTCTAATTAGAGTTGGTGGAAATTGTGTAATCTGAGAATTCCATGACAGGTTCAGACCTCACTGATTTCAAAGCATCAGTATAAAGTTCTACCTGGAATCTGATGGCATCTTGCTACTTTTGTACTTGCTTTTGGGACATCTTTGGTTCATACCACCACCTTTTCACTTTCTCCTTGTCACTTGCCTAAACAGCTTCTTTCAAAGTGACTTGCTTTATGGATGTTTTCAGTGGAGCACTATCCTTTTCCTTTGAGACTTAAATTTAATTTTAGTAAATTAATTTTACTTTTCTCTTAATGAGAGCACATCACATTCCCCATTGCTTCATTTATCATTTTATATTCCTGCACCTGTCATTCATGTGACCAACTTGTTGACCTCATTATTCATTGCTATTCATTTTTTCTTTTATGTATTCTAATACAATTAATTCCTTCTCATGGTTTTCTTAATCAAGGGTATTATTATATTAATTTATTGAAAGTCACTTGAATATGATCATTTCACCATATTTTTCCAGCTTACTCTACTAGTGGACAGGAAACGTAATGCACTGGAAGTTGACTTTTCTTCTTTTTTCTTTTAAAAGAAAGTCTAGATTAATATAATTTAGAACCCCTGGTCAAAATGAAATGAAAATGTCTTACTACTTTTGATTCCCTCCATGTCCTAGGAACAAAATGACTCTCTCATGTTTGACATAATGAGGTAGACAACTAATTTAGACACAAACAACATGAAGCAGGGTTCTGGGGGCACCTAGGTTATTGTCATCAGGTTTCACAACCAGCCTGAGCGTCACTGTCTTTTTTTAGCAAATATAATTGTTGGGAGCCATAAATTACATGACAACTTCTATAGCTCTTTCTTCCTTTTCCTCTCTAGTCTCCCTTTCCCCTGCCTTTTCAATAAGCATTTCAGGTAGAGTTAATGAGAACCAGGTGATAAAGACACAGACACCTTTGATTTCCAACTCAACAATAAAAATAACTGGAATCAACTAATTAACCCATGATTCTTTTGAAAATGTGAATATGAAGATCATATATGCATGTAAATAATACATGTGAATGATAAAACATGCAGCTGGTTGTATAGACAATTACTGTGCTAATCTGAAATTGCTTTATATTCTTCTATTTTGATTACCAAATTTAGAATTGAGTAGAGTCCTGGTCATAGTCATGAAAAACTCAAATACAAGGAGATACTACTTTCCCTGATACTTTTTCATTTAGTTTCACTGATGTTGGATTAATCAGTAAACTCTTAGGGAACATGTTTTCCATATTGTTTTTAATGAACAAACTAACTTGATGAAAATTCATTTTGAGCTGACAAATTCTGTAGCACAATCATTTTATTTTATTTATTTATTTATTTTTCTAGTACCAGGGACTGAACTCAGGACCTTGCACTAGCTAGGCAGGTACAGTGCCCCTGAACTATATCCCTGGCCCCACACAACCATTTTAATTGTATTCATTTATTAAGACAACTTTGACTTGTTTACTTTTCAAAAACTTTTTAAACATCATGCAGATGTCAGGATATTGGGAAGATTCAAGACCTAATTTTTACTATGAGCCTTGAAGGAACTTTGATGAATTTCAGAGATGAAAGATGAGCAACTCCTCAACTAAACTGTAGAATCTCTGAATTTGAAGGGACTTTAAGGATAGTTCAGTCACACACTTAAAGGTTAAATTTGATTCAGGACATCCCTGCCAAATAAGAAGTATCCTATAGACAGCTCTGACCATTAAAAAGTTCTTTTTTACTTAAACCCTATAGCTTCCACCCTTGGATCCAGATTCTGTTATGGAAATAAAACACAGTTACAGGGCTGAAAACTTTTTGAAATCAAGGACTGTGCTATGGTTTGGATGTTGAACATCCCCCAAAGACCCTAAAGGTTAAAAGATTAGTCCCCAGGGTAGTGCTGCTAAGAGGTGATAGAACTGCTAGGAGTGGGGTTTAGTGGAAGATCCTTAGATTATTGGGATATGATTAAAAAGGGATTGTGGCACCCCACCCAGTCTTTTGTGTTTCCTGGCTCATGATATCAGCAATTTCCTCTTCCCTGTGTCTCTCCCATATGTGCAACCCTTGCTAGAGTCCCATAGCAATGGGGCTGCCTGATCTTGGACTGAAACCTTCAGAACCATGAGCCAAAATAAACCTTTTCTCTGTGTAAGTTATTATCTCAGGTATTTTGTTATAGTAACACAAAGCTGATTAATACAGACTATATCTACCATAGCTTTTAGTAACTTGATAAATGATTGATGAATTAGTTAAAAGCAGATGTTTCTCTTTTGGGGGGAATATTACCTTACAAAATAGCAAATTGTCAGTGTATTTAAGATCCACTGAGAAAGCATCATATAAGTAACTGATTTATTGCTTAAATGTTATAGCCGATATATTTTGTTATTCTTTAAATCTTAAAATCCACATAATTTTACATATTTGACTTATGAAGTGCCATGTGCCCTCACTATATTTATATTTATATTTAATGACCCTGCAGATATTAACTGTTAGATATCACATGTGCAGAATATACTGTCTGAAACAGGGGGTAGAGAAGTTGAAACCTGCTGATAAAGTCACTAGAAGTCCTAGGTTTTGTCAGCTCCACCACTACCATCTGAGTGACCCTAGGTAGGTCACTAAACCTCTCTGGTTCTTGGTTCATCTTCTACAAATGGCAAAGGTTGAAACAAATGCTCTTTTAAAGTTCTTTTCAGCTTCCTAGATTGTGTTTTTGACTTGTCTGTCCAGTGACTTCTGATTTCCAGCTCAATTCTCACTTTATATGGCCAGTAACTGTCTACTTGCGTACACTGTATAAAGCCAAGGGTGTTCCCCCTCTCTTTTCAGAACACTGTTCTTCAGGAAACAGTGCGCAGAGAGTGTGAAGAACGCTTTGAACTGACAGAGGCATTGATCCAAGCCAGAGAACAGCTCCTGGAGCTCAGGAAGCTCCATGGAAGCTTACCGTTGTCATCATGTCCCCACAGCAAGGGCAGCCTAACCTCTTCTGTCGCAGCCGTCGGTAATCATAGAGAGTGAAGCCCTGTAAGACTGAACTCTGAAAAAGGAATCAGAATTCCCAGCCTGCACAGAGCATCAAACCCCATCACTTCCCCAACCTCAGATAAGCCCAAGAGGACCAGCAACTCAGGTGTGCCAGTGCTCGCCGCCGCACCAAATTCTCCCAGGGGCAAGGCGTCTTCAGTAAATGAGACCAGACAGAGATTGGCTGCCGTTCTTCGGAGGAGGCTGAGTCAGCAGCGATTGATCCAGGGTCAGGAGCAGCTCCACACAGCGTGCACTTCTTTCACAGAGATTCACTGCACCCGAGGGCGACAAAGATCAAATACGTCTGTAGATATATTTAACAAAGGAATGTAAAGAGAAAATCCTGAAGCCGTATTTTCCAAAAAGTCTTTAAAATTGCAATAGATAATGAAGTTGTAGGTATTCCAGAGGGTCCATTTCTACTTTTATGTATTATGTGCATTTCAATGAGTTCTATGAATATATTCTTTTAGAGATTACAGGTAAAAAGAATTTCCTTCATGGCATCTTTCCTTTCTTTTTTCATTTTTGCATCATTACAATCAGAACTTTTCTACCAAAATTAGATTAGGTTGGTTTTATTGGTGTTTGTTCATTTGTTTGTTGAGCTAAGTAGGTTAAATAGACGTAGTAAGCATTCCAATAGAAAAGAAAAGAAAGCACTTTAGTCCTTAATTAATTTCCAAAGTGCTGAGTTCAGATATTCACAGGGCTCAGCAGCAGCAGCAGCAAAAGCATCTTTACTTCACCTTGCAATTTAATTGGTTAATCTAATTTCTTTTTAGATTAGGTGGGAAGTAATATAGAAATATTCAGGACAGTCTTCTCTGAGAGTGTACAAAAAGAGATAATATTTCCAATTCAAGGAAAAGGTGGTTTACTTCTCAAAGTATGAAGATTGTTTGGAAAACAAAGAGTCTGACCATGGAAATATTACTTAGTAGTGCTACACCAAAAGATACGAGAATGGGGTTTCTCTCCATAAACAGGAGCACATTTTTGTTTAAAATGTGACTTGACTTAGATCTTCCATCTGACTGCATCATGCAGATCCATTCCCATTTTGGAATAAGAGTCACACATGTGAAATACGGTACATAAAACTCTCTCCTATTTATCTTACCTACTGATGAGAGAATCCAAAGCTACTTGAGATCCTCCCATGTGAAAAAAAGTAAAGTTATTAAGCAAAATCAAGTTTATCTCTAATCTTTCAAAGGATTAGTCTGATCTACCAGTGAAATATTTTAACTTTAAAAAATTCCATATGAAGTCCACTGATTTTCCTGACAAGTTTAAGAAAGAAGACATCTTACATTAAGGGTTAGAATGCTTATTTTGTTTTACAGGGATTGTTGTTTTTTGTAATGGCCTTTAACAAGAAATCACAACATTATAGAACAGTGGCATATTTTAGATGGTTATCCTAGCCACCTCTTTGCAGATGAGGAATAGACCCCCAAAGGGACTGTGACTTGGATAAGGTAATGCAGCTAGTTTGTGACAGGTTGAACCAGAACCACCTTCACTGATCTCAGTCTTCCTGCCTCACTAAAAGGTTCCCAAGCCTCCATCATGATTTTGGTCAATAGCACCTACACGGTATTTAATTAATAGTTTAAAGTATACTCACTTTTTAAACTGAAATTTGTGTAAGAAGGAAGAATGAATCAGGGAAAAATAACTATAATGAGTTCGATTTGCTAGTTATATTTTGGGAATGCTCTTAAAACAAATATTCATGTATTAAAATAATACATATACCATACATTTCCACATCCTTATATTATCTTGCATAATTTCAGTAGGGGTCCACTGCCCTACCCCTCCTTATCTCTGATCTATTTGATGTTTAAATTACAAGTACTTGTCACATAAACTAGATGGCAAAAGCTAGTGAAAGCATAGGAGAGTACCTTGGGAAACAGCTTTTGTTACCAGGTTAGACTTGCTTTTTTCAGTCTTGTGATTCCAGCTGTCCTTTCAGGAGCCAGAAGGATGCAGCAGTACTCTTCATTTTCCCTAAATTATGAACATATTTTGATATATAAAGTCACACATAAGCTTTTTAAAAGTGATATAAAGACTATTTTAGCAAAATAGTTTGAAACCTAGCTTCTCAGTTTTATTGTTATGCTCTTGCTTTACAATGAGTAATTCTGTGAATAATCACTCTGAGAATAGTATCATGATCTGCCGAGAGGTTGTATTATAGACCATAGTATGTAAAAGAAGTAATTGTATGGATAAACAGGTAATATGTACGTTTATTTCAACCTACACTGTTTTAATGGTACAAATTAAGCAATGTGTTTATCTTTTTTCAGAATTTTTTTCAAAAATAGTATTAGATTATGTAACTAGATGTTAAGAACACAATGAACTCCTGTCATAAAGCAATGTTAAGAAAGTAGTTAATATGGGAAAATAACATTCTAAAATGCATTTAATGGATATTAAATCAAACACTTTCAATTTCTCTATAAAACACATGTTTTCCATGACCTCAGTGGAAGGATTTATAGGTTTTAAGAGAAAAAATGCCATAGAAAGTATTACTTAGAGAATTATAACCGCCTTTGTTTTTCATCTTGAACTGGTATGGGTGGACAAAGATGGAAGGGAAATCTGTAACAGAGTTTTCAAGCAGTTCTTTGCAATCTCATTGAAAAATGCTAAATTATAGTTGTTCAGAACTACTTAAATTACATTTTCTTCCAGTGGAATGGCCTGGAAGAGACACTAACATAATAATTATGTAAGACTAAGATCTTTTAATATTTTATTAATCTAAAAATGTTTTTGTAATATTACAAATCAATTGTAGAGAATTTCTTTGATTATGGAACAATTTTTTTCAAGCTTTACCTTTTAAAATTCATATGATTATTAAAATATTATACTAATAGATCAACCTAATGTTTTAAAAGGCTTAACACACTGTAGCTAAAAATTCCAACCTGTGGCTGTCATAGCCAAGTTTCAACTTGGTTGGCTTTGGGATCTGCATGGGGGACTGGTGAAGCACATCTGAGTGTGTCTGAGTTGATCGTGGAGGTGGGGCCTTGGGGTCTATATCTGGTTTCTCCGTCTTCCTCCCTGCCACTAATCCTGTGCTCTGCTTCCTGGCTGCCTTGAGTTAAGCAGCTTTGCTCCACCACATACTTCTACCATGATGTTTCTGCCTTGGAACCAGCTAACCAGGGACTGAATCCCCTGAAACTGAGCTAACTTAAACCATTCCTCCTTTCAATTGTGGGTGTCAAGTATTATATTTCAGCATCAGAAAGCTAACTAAATATACCAACCATTCTGCTGTAACTTATGGAGCACAGGAAATCAATTTGATATGTGCTGAAAGTTCACAAATCCTAAAATCATGGATTGTTAAACTTTTTAGTTCTCATGTTTTAAAAAAAGAATGTACAGTGCATCTTGCATAGTACACCTGTAATAGTCCCCAAACCAAGAAACAATTATGGTATCATTCTTAAAGTGACATTGATGGTATCTTAAAAAAAGATTTGACATTTCTTCTTGAAATTAGCAACTCTAGGTAGTAACAAATTGTGAAGCCAATGTTATACTTTTGCCTTTTTATAATTAATTATATCATCTTTGTATATTCTGAAGTTTACATGTAGAACTTTCTTAACAATATAACAGTTGGATATGGAACACTTTCCTATGGTAATATTCACCATGATTTTATAAGTCATAAGATTTTCCTCTTCTCCAATGGTCATATACCCTAGCCCTTTATGTCCTTTATGTCCTTTAAATGTCCTTTAATAAAAATTTAGCAGACATTTATTAGTCCCCCAATAAATAAGAGAATAATTGGTCACAGAGTAATTGTGTAGTACTTGTTTCCCCAAACAAGTAATATAGGATATTAATAAATAATTTTAAGCCAGTTTCTAATCATCTTGAGCCATACATTAACATTAAAGATGTTACTTATTTACTCAACAGGTACAGACAACTGAAGAAATGTTGTAAGAGCCACAAAGATAAATAAGACATATTACAGATTCTCAAGAATTGTATAGTAAAAGGAAAGGGGAAAAAACATACTTAGAAATTATAGGGCAGGGGCCAGGGATTTAGCTCAGTGGCACCACACCTGCCTGGTAAGTGTAAGGTCCTGAGTTTGATTCCTGGTACTGGGGAGGAAAAAAAAAAAATGAGAAGAAAGAAATTATAGGGCAGAAGGTGTTGTTGGGTAAAGAACAGGATTGAGACCAAGGTGGATGACCTCTACTTCTTGGCAAGAGAATTGGTATTTTCAATGTGTCTTGAAGAATGAGTAGAATCTTATGAAGAAAGCATACCAGGTAGAGGAAATAGGTAGATGTTTGCACAAATGGGAAGTATAAAAAACATTTGGTGAGGGCCAGGGATTTAGCTCAATGGTTCCGTTGCCTGCCTCGCAAGCAAAAGGTCCTGAGTTCAATCCCTGGTATCAAACAAACAAACAAACAAAAACATTTGGTGAAATAGTGGGAACCTGAAAAAGTAGTTTGATCTACTGGATCGAGTTGAATTAGGGCCCTGTGCAGGCTTTTGACTGGGAGTAGCATGAGCTCTGTTGAAATATGGAACCACTGTCTTAGCAGTGCTGTATTGGAGTAACTGTGAAATGGACAGGCTGGAAATGGAACACCAGTTGGCTGACTAGTATGATGCTCCAGACAAGAGATAATGAAGTTCTGAATAAAGATATTGATTTTGGGAATAAATAGGAGGTATCTGATTTAAATTGTGTTCATGGAAGGGAAAAGATTTTTTTCCCCTGCTAAATGCAATTTGAAACCATTACCATTGCCACCTTAGCAGGGTGCATTTTATGAGATTGGCTCCAATTAAAGGACTATCCTCTATTTAAGAATACAACCTCTCTGAAAAATGTGAAATAGTAGGAACTACATTTTCATTTGGGCAACAGATAAGCCCATTCATAAGACTCTACATTCACTAGAACTCTCCTTAAAGGAAAATACAAATCTGAATAATGTTCTAAGAACTATAAAGGAACAGCATGGAAACTGACATTAAAAATAAATATTATCTTGTCTCACAGAATGCAAAGTACAACTAAACATGGAAATTTGGGAGTAATGCAGTACAATAAAACTTCTTTCTGATTTTTGCTAACCATTTAGGAGGGAAAATATAGATGATAGCAGCTAAAATAAAAATAATGGTTATCTGTAAATCTTTACAGTTTATAGTCCTGAGGGACCTGATGCCTCACTTGGTCTAGATCTGTATCACTTTACAGAAGTAGATAATAGTTCACTTAGATATTAAATAATTTTCTAATCACCTAG